GTGCAGGAACGACACACACCCGAGGAGGGAGAGGACTCCTTTCTCGCTACGTGTCATGCGGTGGCAGCACAAACGCAGGCTTGCAAGTGAGGGAGCAACATCATGAATCACAATTATAAAGTGCACACTCCGCTTACAGCTGCAAGATGGACGCAATCAGGGACTCGCTCCAGTAAGTATTTCCCCTCCACTTTCACCCAAACAATGGAGAGACAGCCGGAGTGGGGGCGTGGGCCGCGGCCGCTGACTCTGCATCGCCTCCCTGTTCGTCTTCCGTTCAGTGCTTGAGGTCCTTGCGTGCCTGCTGCGCCATCATCTCCAACCGCGCCTTCTCGTACATATCCCTCTGGTGCTGCTCGTATAGCTGGCTGAACTGCGCAATCCCATTCTTGGCGTACGACGCGTACATAAGTGCGAACTCCTCCACGCACGTCTGCTCGTCCGCGGTGAGCTGCAGCTCGCCGGTGCTCGTGCTGCTGGGGGCGACGCACTTCTGGAACGCGCGGTGCACAACTTTCTGGCGCGCCGTGTGGTAGGCACGCTGCTGCTCCCCCCTGATGGTGTCGCTCGCGAGCGCCACCGAGTTGCTCTGCCCCATCGCACCTGAATGCGGTTTCCCTTGTGTATTTGTGTGTAAGAGAGAGGGGAGTTCCTGCACGCACAGTAGGCACAACAACAGATGCAGAGGGACATGCAAGCAGCATGCAGAGAGACAAAATACGACAGATGCGGATGCATTAGCAGCACCGCATTGTCAGCGATGTGAAGACGTCCATTGTTATGGAACCTTGCGTGAATTGTACAGCATACCTTCCCCCCTCCCTTTCTCTCTCTCTCTCTCTCTCTCTCTAGGGTCCCCCTCTCCCTCAAAAAGCGACAACAGAAGAATACCAAGCCAGGGATTGGGCGCCTTCCACTCCCTCACCCCCAAGTGCTTTAGGCGGCGATCAGCTCCATCTCGAGAAACGCCTCATGCATGACATTTGTGTCGGGCGCCTCGTGGCAGTGCACAGACACAGTTGAGCCTGCCGAGAGGCGAAAATACTCCGCAAAGGTTGAGGCGGACGACGCGATTGTAGTGCTGCAGTTGCACGGGCGACGGGGACACGACACGCCTGAACAATTGCCACCAACAGAAGGGGCGGCAGCAGCAGCAGCAGCATGCCGGGGACCTGTTGAAGACTGGCGACCGCTCCCTGCTGCCGGCTGTAGTGTGTAGCACGTCGAGCCGCCCGAGAGAAAGCTGAATACAGTGTTGTTATTGACGCGCAGCGTCACGGATGGCAGCACCGATGCGGCAATCTTGTGACCACCGCCTTGACTCTTTCCGCCAACACACCGACTGCAGCTGGTGAGCAAACACGTCGTCACGCGATAAATGCCATCCTTCAGCAGCTCTACGACAGCAGGTCGCCGCAGGCGCCAGACAAACGGAAGCCCGACGCCTTCGCACAGTTCAGCGTGCGTCGCAGCAGCGCCAGGAACTGGCAGCCACTCCCCCGTCATGGTATTGCGCACATGCGGTGAGCCCCATGGAATGGGACTGTCCGCGGAGAGCATCGGTGACGACACATGGCCGCCACGCCAGTGCCAGCGCGCCACGCTGCAGTCCACCGGCGAACGTGCTGCTACTGCCTTTACCGCTGGCGGTGATGATGACGATGGCGGCGGCATCCGTCGCCTCCTCGCTGCGGATGAGGCGCGTGGCTCCTCCCACAGCTGAGCGGGCGTTGGGGGCACAGAGGAGTTGGACTGCAGCAGCTGTTGCCACTGGCTGCGCAGCAGCTTCACCTCTCGCACCATCTCCTTCAGCGCGGAGTCATCATTGGCAGCAGTGAATGTGGTGGTCGACGGCGGCGGCGCTCCCGATGCGAGTCTATCAATCTGCTGCTGCAGATAGTCCAGGCCGGGGTAGAGCACCTGCTCGTGAAGATGTTGGGTTGCACGCCGCTCTGTCTCCATGGCGTCATGCAGTTGCTGGCTGCGCTGCTGCAGGGCCTCCAGCACCCGATCGGTGGCATCGCGGTCCATGTGGTAGCGCCGCTCCTTCAATCGGGTGTCGCTTGCAATGACCTCGACGGCCCGCAGCACTTGATCCACCTTGTCCTCCAGCGCCGCCAGGCGGCCCTCGTGATGTTGTGCCTGCTGGAGCAACAGCTGGGCGGCGCGTGCGACACACGGCTGGACGTTCTTCCACTCCTTTCCCAGGCCCTGCTGCGTCTCCGTGAGGTCGCGCAGCACCTCCTCGCAGCGGCTGCGAAGGGCGCTGGGAGATGTGGGGAACGTTGCTGCTACACTCATCGCGACCCCCTCCTTCTCTTCGTCCGCCCACGCAGCTCCAACTATATCGCTTTATCGTTGTTGTTTTGATAAGTTTATTCAACAGAGAAAACACGGTGTGAAAGTGGAAGAGGGAGAGAAGGATTGCGGAGAAAGTGATGTAAACGGCATCACACCCACACAGACGGGCATCTTCTCTGGCGTTGGTCGTGGTGCCGCGCAGCGTCCGTCGCCTTCTGAATTCTCTTCTTGTTTTTCCTCCCTACCAAGAATATATCTCCTCACACAACTCTTCGCTCACATCCCTCGCCCTTCCCCCGCAAGGCTATTTGGAGGCCACGATCCACTACAACGGAAGACACAAACGGTAGAACCATGAGAGACAGAGAAAACAAGAAAAACAAAACAATACAACTAAGGCGGCTAGGCTCCTGTTGCTCCGTTCCTCCCTTCCCCTTCCTTTTCTCTCCCTCGTCTCACGCTATATCTCCCGCTCCTAAACTTTGAAGGACCGTGCGATGGCGTCAGTGATGTGCGCCGTGTCGAGTTCTTCAGTCCACTCCGTATACGTCTCGTCGAGCACGCGACGCAGCTTCTGCTCCGCCCGCTTCTCCTGCACGAAGTGGATAACGGGAAGTTTGTTGTAGACAAATGAAGGCACCATCAGATCCGTCCACACCATCGGCATCCAGAAGAAGAAAGCGTAGTACCACACCAACGTCCAGGAGGCCAAGTACCACGTGCTCATGGGTTCCAGATGGCGACGGGCCACAGCCACGGCATTCCGGTTCGTCGGCCTCACCAACTTGTTGGCATTTGCACCCAGTCGCCGAAGCATGNTGCTTATATTTCTTTGCTTTCTCTTGTTTCTGTTGTTGTTGCTGCTACTGCTGCCTAGATCACTTCACAACGCTCCCACCTTTTTTGGCTTGAGCTAGGTCCTTTCACTACTCCCTTCCCACATAAACATAGAGAAGAGAGAACAAGAGAGACACTGGAGGAGCAGCAGCAGCAGCAGCACGAACACTACCATCACTACTTGTGAAAAGCACAGACAGCAACTAAAAATAAGCACAAGCGCCACGTGGCATCTTTGTCCCCACGGGAATACTCGGTGTATCTCACTTCACCCCCCTCCCCTGTGGGTGCAAAGAGAAAAAAACAACAAGCCACACACACACACACACAGACACACATTCCTTCTCTATATCTGCGGCTGTGCGCAGCGTGGGGGCGGCGACGAATCCGCGTCCGGCCGAGCCTCACGCGAGGCCAAGGTGATGGGGACCACCGCGTCGCGAAGAAAATGANCCACGTCCTGTAGCCTTACCTCCTGCCGGTCCAGCCGTTGCTGGAAGTTCCGTAGGCACGACTCTATCGCGGTGCTTTTCGCCATAAGCCCCCGGAGCAACTCGTGGTTCTCATCTTCGGCGTTCCACTTCCTTCGCTTGGCTTTTGCCCCCGCAGCCGACGCGGTGCGGTGAACTCGACTCTTTGGGCATTTCTCCTGCGAACCCTGCATGACTGCTGCACAGCTCCGGCCGCCTCTGCTGCCGCTACCCGTGGCAGGTGCAAAGGCAGACGCAGGAAGAGGCGTGGCGGAAGCCTGACCGCGACAGCACGATCTGCAACTGCTTGGCTTCCGGCGGGCCCCCTCATCAATGCCATCGCGTCCACGTCTTTCCCGCAAGGCAGGATTTACAGATACTCTCCTCTGCCGTCTGTGTCGCTGCACATCGCAGCGATCGGCCTCTATGGATGCATGCGCTCCCCGCCCCTCTTGCCTCTCACGGAGGTGTCGCAGCAGGAGTGTTGGGGAAGTGCGATAAAGCTCCCGTTGATCGACGTCAGCCGTGCCATTATTGTCATTATCCACAGCTGCATGTGTAAGATTCCCTGTCCCCTTTCCGTTCGCATTGACCTGTGCCAGGCAGTGAGGAGCTTCCGCTGTGGCTGCTCCTATGGCTGCAACATCAGTGCCTGCCGCTGCTACCGATCCTGGGTGCAGTGGGGTGGGGCTTCCACCCAGCGAGGTCTCCCTTGCAGGTGTCGCCGTGCTGCTAGAACGCAGCCCCACCTCTTCAGAAAGCCGGACATCGCCCCAGGAAGAAAACCCGCGCTCCAGGACGTCCTTGAGAGAATGCGGACGTGTTGACATGACATCATCGCCACTAGCAGCTTGTCGAGTCGGGGTGCCGCTGGTTTTATCTCTTCCATTCTCCCCGTGTGCTTGCCGTAGTGCTGGCCGAGACGACGTTTCCGCCGCGGAGGACGAACTCATTCCGCATAAATCACTGGAGACCACAGGACGGCGGTGAAGAGGAAGGCCCGCCGTTATCCCAGCGGCACTATCACTCCGACTCTCTGTTGTGAGATTATCATTCGACACGGGTGAAGTTTCTTTGGCAGACTGCTGTCGCAACAGATGCTGCTGCTGCTGCTGCTGCAGGAAACTAATTATTGCGTCACGTTCCACGATCCGCTTTTGAAACTCGCGTTGCGTAAGCAGCCACTCCTGCCTCTCACCCTCACACTGCGCTAGCACGGCCGAGGCATGGGCGTCCAAGCGCTGTATCTCCGCTAAAAGCTTCCGCGCAACTTGCCTGTATGCTTCCTCTATTTGCTGCCGGCCCGGCATTGTCGCCGACCGATCCGCCTCCGCCGCGCTGCTTCCCGAGGATACCGACGTGACGTTCAGCAGACAGCATGGACTCTGCTCGGCCTTATCGAGCCGCATCAACGATCCTATTCCCTGACGTCCATTCGCTTCACACGCAACAGCTGCGGCGGCGCCCGGTGCTGATGTCGCCGTGGATGCAGAAGCATGCGCACCATTCGGCTCAGCTACACGCCGACCCTCAATACATTGGGTGTCAAAGCATGGCAGCGCCGTCGTGTTACTACTTGGAGGTGCCGCTGACGTCTCGTCGTCTATATTCTGGCCAGAGATCCCTGGCGAAAAAGCCTTTTGCACCACTACTGGCCTGCCGTTGTTGCTATTGCCTTCGCTGTCGGGTTCTTCATCGTCCTCCGGCGCAACGGTGATCGCAGAAATGCTGACTTCGGATAGGAGCGCTGGGTCGTTACTGAAGCCAACCCGCCTACCCTTTTTCTTTTCTCCCACCATAGCACTTCTGCCATTGTTGAAATTGCTGCTGCTGTTGTTGGTGTTGTTATGCGTTTCACTGCCGTCGCTTTGGTCCTGCATGCGGGAGAGACGGCGGAGGGCCGCCGTGAGGGCCTCAATATCCTCGCGCAGTGACATTCAGCACAGAGACGTGAATCCTACCTGTGTGCCTTGAGCAGCGTCCGCGTGACGCAGTCCACTGACACAGCAGCACAATACACACACACACAGAGGGAGAAAGAGAGACAACGTCTGTCTGCTCGTTGCTCCGACACACCGCGGCCCCTGAGGCGTACCTCTCGACGGGCTGCAGATCGTCCTGTTGGTGTGGCGGCCAACACGAGAAAAAAAAAATCGTGACAAACCAGAGAGAAAAAGCACGCACATGAAAGAGGTGCAGCAGACACCTACACAGAGAAGCAGGGACGCTTCCAAGACTTCTGAACAACACCTCCGAGCCACAACAGGAAGAAACGGGCAATGCATATGGCGCTCAGCGATATTAAGTAACCCAACAGAAACATGAACCGATTGCCACCACACCGGCGAAAACAGATGGCGCCCCCAGCGGGGTGTGTAATCGGCCGCGTCATAAATAAACAAAACATAACAAGAGAGTGCGTCAACGGGCCAATAAAACAAAAGAGCCATTGAAACCCAACAACAAAACGCACGCTAACAATATAGAAGCATACATA